AAAGTTGTTCAAGTTGTTCAAATTAAGTTCTTAGCAATGCATATTACTAATCAAAAATTAAGTTTTGATATAGGAAATTTACGTATTGTTGGCTATTGCTACAAATATACCCCAGCGACTTAACACTGCTTTTGTGCTCCAGGCTCACATATTATGTGTGTACTGTGTATATTTATTATGTATACAGTAGTCAACATTTGAAGTGGATCAAAAAAGTTAATCAAAGTTGTCCTAAGACAAGAACGCATTTTGGTTTTAGGTTTTAGGACAACTTTGATGAAAGGTTTTGATCCACTTCAAATGTTGACTAGTGTATATTAGGGCTGCCCCCTAATAGTCGTCTAATCATTAGTCGGCCAGAAGAGGCTTGGTCAACCAAAATTTTATTAGTCGCTTAGTTGCAGAAAACAAAAATGTAAAAAAATCCACGGGCGAAGTCACGCAGTCCGTGACTAACAGATCGTTAACAGCTAGTCTATGGTAATACAGTACATCCAAACGCTCGCCTATCTTTCATCCACCTCAAATATGGCTTATCATCTGAAATATGTAAGTATTAGCAACTTTACATGGCCGCTCAATCTGATGTTAACCTAGAGAAATGTGCGCTATAGCAGGACAGATGGAGGCTTGCTCTTAAAATACTCCCTCATTTTTGGTCATACAGATAAGAGTAATACATATTTAAAATCTGTAAAGACTACGTTTATTCGTGTGCACTCACAATAACAACAAAACATGGCGCTTTTGTAAAATAATGAACGCAAACAGGATGCGCTTGCTTTCTGCCGTCTCAGTCTCTGAACTCGAGCGCAAAGCTCTGTGTATGTTTGCTTTACAGACATTAAAAATATATCTATAGAGAGTGAAATGTCTACTTTCAAATGGATAACTAATATTCTTAGATTATGTAATCCGTATGAAACATGCATACAGGTGCGTCCACTACTGCGGAGATGACGAGTCAGTGTCGCCGAGTTCATCTCTTAAACCGAAAACTAAATTATTAAAATGTTAATACAGTCTCCTTACTGTTTTTCACTGACACATTAATAATCATTACTTCTGCCGGTGCGCTGTGGCAAGCTTTATGCATGTGCTTGAGCGCTTATTAGGCTATGTAGGCAATTAAAGTCTCATTATAATGATTTAAATGTCATGGCAGTGATGGCATCAGCATAGCAGAGATAAGAAAAGCCATGCTTCTGAATGACAGATCCTAATGATGACATGTAGATGGAGAAGAGAAGCGGTCCAAGCACTGAGCCTTGAGGAACCCCAGTAGCAAGAAGTTGTGACTTATAAACCTCACCCCTCCAAGACACCCTGAAAGACAACCTAAGTTGTCTAAGCAAGATGTTAGATGCTTAAAATGAACGACTACTAGTCGACCAGAAAAATCTTAAATTGAGGGCAGCCCTGTTATATATAAATACACACACATGCATGTATATAATTAAGAAAAATTTTATGTTTATATATTAAATGTGTATATATAAAATAAATATATACATGTAAATATTTTCAAAATATATATTGTATGTGTGTGTATTTATATATACATAAAGTACACACACATATATTATGTAAACAAAAACGTTTATTTTGGATGCGATTAATCGTTTGACAGCACTAATCGCTAACGTCAGCCGTGTCTCTCTGCAGCGTCTGTGTTCACCGTGAAGAAGACGGACGATGAGCAGAACGTCAGTGATGCTGAGGAAGATGATTTTCAGACCGATGATGATGAAGATGAAGATGTGTCTGAAATGGAAGTAGAAAACCAGATGCAGAAACGCAAAAAGGTGAGTGACTGAATCACGTTGTGATAATGAAAGCTAAATGTCAACAATGACAGTTTAATCACTACAAATGTGAATCTGTATTTGATTTACATGTGTTGGATTTATAGTGTCACACATTGGTATTATTACAGTTAAAAATAAAAAAATGTATAAAAATGTATAAAAGGTAAATATTACAATACATTTAAAAAAAGGCTAATATAATGACAAAAACTAACAAGAATCAATAAAATTTATTAAAATTAAGGGAAAATGAAAATATAAAAACTACAGTCATATCTCAATTATACTAAAATAACACTAGTATCACAGCAGTTTTACACAATACACAAATCATTGCACTATATGCTTGTTTTAATTCATTTTAAATCTATTTTTTTTAATAATTTTAACATTTATTTTATTTTTATTTATTTTTATTTAAAGCACTTTGTGCTATAAATAAACTAGCCTTGCTTAAATTAACTGGTTGCAGTGAATTCACAGTGCTGCATATCAGTGTTATTATAGTTAACAAAAACCTTAATAACAATTCATTACTTAAAATAAAAAAACTTATTTATGCTACTTGCCAAAAAAACATTTCTCATTTTAACTTAACTTGATGTGCTAAAATAACTAAAACTGAAATAGAAATGAATAAAAACTAAATATATATATATATATTAAAAAGGTTAATAAATGGACAAAAAAAGAACAAAATTAATCAAATTTATTAACTGAAAATTTAAAAACAACTAATTCAAACTATTAACAGAAACTACAATCATATCTTATACTAAAATAACACTGACACATATTTCATGTAACAGATTTACACTATACACAAATGTTAATTCTTTTTTTTATCATTTTAAAATTTTTATGCTTTGCTTTTATTGTTGTGATTATTTTTATGATGTTTTTATTGTTTTTATGTAAAGCACTTTGAATTGTAATTGTGTATGAAATGTGCTATATAAATAAACTTGCCTTGCCTATATATATATTAACTGAATGTGGTGAGAAATGTCTTTAATATGTAACTTCCCTGTTGTTTTTTAGGTTCAGTCTGCTGGCTTTACTAAGAAGATTAAGAAGAACAACAAGAAGAAGAAGGGTTTTAAACATGTTGGCAAAGTCAATGGAAAATAATAAAGTTTGTAACTCATTGAAACTGTTTTCACTCTCATTGTTTCTGGATCTGAATAAAGGGATTTTCATTCGTAAAGATGCATGTAATTGTGTTTGACAGCACTCTTATTCATTAGATACAATTATAGTTTTTATTAATCGTTTTATTTATTCATTTTTAAGTTATGGTAATTTTTGATGTATATTTTAAAATTTATATGCAATTCAAATACAAAAATTCTACATTTAGATCTAAATGTTTTTTGAGAGTAATGTTAGTTAATAAAAAACAAACTGCTTACAGTTTGTGTGAACTCGGGTCTATTAAAAATATTAATAGATAAAACATTTTATTTTGATAATGTATTAGTAAATGTTAATTAACGTTAGAAGTATTGCTCATAGTTGACTAATAGGAATCTTTTTTCAGAAGTGTTTCTCTTCAGTAACAACAAAGTCTGAGTGGGAGCTAGTTTTCAAGGCGAGTGAGATTCTTCTGCTTCCAGTATTCTGTGAGATCTCAGGTTTCTCATGAGCGGAGTTCAGATGAATGCTGTTCACACTGGAGCTGAATGCGGTGTCACTCCGGTTTCCAGTGCTTGATGCTGTTCTGCTGATATCAGTGTTTCTGGAATCATTCAGATACTGTAAAAGTTTTTCATTTTAGTTAATTTTGTGCTTTTTGTCTTTATGTTACAAGTTTTTATTCATTTTCTTAATTAGCTTTAGCTATTTTAAATTCAAATTAAACTAAACGATGTTCTGTTCATACTAGTGTTATTTTAGTATCATCAAGATACTGTTATAGTTGTTACTATTTAGATTTTATTTTTATATTTTCTGTTTTAATTTTAGTTAAAATGTTGTTTTTTGTCATTTTTATTTATTATTTTTAGCTTATGTAGTCATTAGTTTATTTTAGTTATTTATTTTAGAACTTCATATTAAACTAAACAAAAATAAGAAATGTTTGCTTGGGAACCAGCTGAAATAAAATCATTTACTTTTTAATTTTATTTGTATTAATTTCTAATTATTTAATATTTTTTTATTGATTTATTTTTAATTTTATTTCAGTTAACATTTATTTTATTTCGAGTAATGAAAATAGTTTAAGTTTTAGTTAACGATAATTACTTAATTTTTATATTGTCTGTTTTAATTTTAGTTAATGTTGTTTTTTGTCATTTTTATTTATTATTTTTAGCTTATGTAGTCATTAGTTTATTTTAGTTATTTATTTTAGAACTTCATATTAAACGAAACAAAAATAAGAAATGTTTGCTTGGGAACCAGCTGAAATAAAATCATTTACTTTATTTTATTTGTATTATTTCATATTTTTTTAATGATTTATTTTTTATTTTATTTCAGTTAACATTTATTTTATTTCAAGTAACGAAAATGGTTTAAGTTTCAGTTAACGATAATTACTTTATTTTTGTTTTAATTTGAGTTAAAATGTTGTTTTTTGTCATTTCTCTTAAGGCTAAAAGTAGCTCATAACTCGCCGATTTAGGAGAAAATCTTAAAATAATGTGCGTGTCAGTCCTATGTTTGATGTTAGTGCATTGTTAAATCCTGGAGTTTTATTTAGTGCGTCGCAATGCGTTGCTGCAATTGAAGAGATTCCGATTTGTTTCAATCTCGTTTTGTGTTTAATAATGAAACCGTGTTTATGGGGAAGCGTTCTGTGGGATGTTTTTGCCGTTTAAAAGCACTGTGAGAGATGTAGATGAAATGGAGTGCATCAGATCTTCCTCTTTCTGGACTCTTTATCATGTTATTTGCGATGCTTTCGTCGGATGACGTTCCTGAGGGCCTAATGCATCACACGTCAGATCAGCGCTGTGAACTCTGTACTGTATTTTAGACGGGACGTTTGACTTTCAGAAGTTTATATTGATGATCCAATGGTGTGGTGTTCTAAATATGTGCACCCTCATGATGAGAGTTACACTGTAAAAAATGACCGTGAATTTAACGGTAAAAGACAACATTATTTCAGTTAATGAAATTACGGTATTTAACTGTAAATTTAAGTAAAAACCGTAAAACCTAAAATGTTGCTACCGTATTTTTTACAGTAAAATTCCGGCAACCACAGCTGCCGTTTTTTTACCGTACATTTTATGGATTTTTTTTTACAGTGTAGGCAATATTGGCATTGCATTTTACTATGCAAACAACACAATAATTGATGCAATTAATTCTAACAGCCATAAATGTAGTAAATGTAATGCTGATTTTACAGGCATTATTGGTGTGCATAGTCTCAGTTCTTTTAACTGCGCTTCTCGATTAGAGAAATGCATTGAAATAAGACAAAAAGCACAAGAAATCAAGATATTATTTGATCTTAATTCACCTCCTCAATGTTTGGAGAAGAAAAAAAAACTCTATGAGAGCCTCATTTTTTAAGTCTGATTTCTAGATCTGGAAAAATCATGTAAATTCGTCTGTTTCAACTTAACTTACATTAATTTACTGCCTTCAGTTTTTAAATTCAATGTCATATTAAATTGAATCGTAAATTAAACTAAATTATCTTGAGTTTAAAAATTGAGTTGAATCTCCTATAGCTTAAAAAATGAAGTTAAAATTGTTTAAATAATTTTAATGAGCTGAAGTAATGGAAAAACATGTTTATTTTATTTATTTATTATTATTATTTTATTTTTTTTACATTACTTTTTTACAGCACTGGCTAAAATATACTGCTAAAGTAATAGGAAAACATGTTGCCATAAGTAAATTTTTTTTAACATTAGTTTTTACAGTGTGGGCATTTTTAATAATATGTCAATCTCTAAAATATATGGGCAAAACCATACGAGAAGGCTTAAATTTAAAAGTGAGATTTCTAAATCTGGAGAAGTCATGCAAATTAATAAAATTGTATGTTATTTTTAAATTGCACTGTAAAAATATCTACCAATTTCTTAAGTTCAGTTGCTGCCTTTTTGATTAGTATAATCAAATTGAATGTATAGCTTAAAAAATGTAATTGGTTAAATCAGGAAGTAATGCTCTGGTCAGGTTATGATGCTTGAATAGTTGATATGCAGAGTTCATTTTAGAGTTTATATTTATATTTAAAAAAAAATGGTTGTCGGATATCATGCAAGGACAATTAATATCACCATGTTTGCTCTGTTGGTCTTTTATCATTTTAATTAACTTTAAAATTAATGCAATCCTTTTATGACTTTTAATTTCCTTTATAAATAAATTGGACTCTACACATAGCTACTTATCTTCAAATAAATGACCTTCATAATCTTGACATATCTTGTTCATACAGTTTAGCATGGACAATAATAATGAATGAAGGGGTTTTACAGTAGCGGTCAGCTGCGTAAAACCTAAAATGTTGCTACCGTATTTTTTACAGTAAAATTCCGGCAACCACAGCTGCCGTTTTTTTACCGTACATTTTATGGATTTTTTTTTACAGTGTAGGCAATATTGGCATTGCATTTTACTATGCAAACAACACAATAATTGATGCAATTAATTCTAACAGCCATAAATGTAGTAAATGTAATGCTGATTTTACAGGCATTATTGGTGTGCATAGTCTCAGTTCTTTTAACTGCGCTTCTCGATTAGAGAAATGCATTGAAATAAGACAAAAAGCACAAGAAATCAAGATATTATTTGATCTTAATTCACCTCCTCAATGTTTGGAGAAGAAAAAAAAACTCTATGAGAGCCTCATTTTTTAAGTCTGATTTCTAGATCTGGAAAAATCATGTAAATTCGTCTGTTTCAACTTAACTTACATTAATTTACTGCCTTCAGTTTTTAAATTCAATGTCATATTAAATTGAATCGTAAATTAAACTAAATTATCTTGAGTTTAAAAATTGAGTTGAATCTCCTATAGCTTAAAAAATGAAGTTAAAATTGTTTAAATAATTTTAATGAGCTGAAGTAATGGAAAAACATGTTTATTTTATTTATTTATTATTATTATTTTATTTTTTTTACATTACTTTTTTACAGCACTGGCTAAAATATACTGCTAAAGTAATAGGAAAACATGTTGCCATAAGTAAATTTTTTTTAACATTAGTTTTTACAGTGTGGGCATTTTTAATAATATGTCAATCTCTAAAATATATGGGCAAAACCATACGAGAAGGCTTAAATTTAAAAGTGAGATTTCTAAATCTGGAGAAGTCATGCAAATTAATAAAATTGTATGTTATTTTTAAATTGCACTGTAAAAATATCTACCAATTTCTTAAGTTCAGTTGCTGCCTTTTTGATTAGTATAATCAAATTGAATGTATAGCTTAAAAAATTTAATTGGTTAAATCAGGAAGTAATGCTCTGGTCAGGTTATGATGCTTGAATAGTTGATATGCAGAGTTCATTTTAGAGTTTATATTTATATTTAAAAAAAAATGGTTGTCGGATATCATGCAAGGACAATTAATATCACCATGTTTGCTCTGTTGGTCTTTTATCATTTTAATTAACTTTAAAATTAATGCAATCCTTTTATGACTTTTAATTTCCTTTATAAATAAATTGGACTCTACACATAGCTACTTATCTTCAAATAAATGACCTTCATAATCTTGACATATCTTGTTCATACAGTTTAGCATGGACAATAATAATGAATGAAGGGGTTTTACAGTAGCGGTCAGCTGTTAAATTTAAGTACACAATTAGATAATACCAATTTAGCTCAACCATATCCAGTCTTTGTGTGTTTTGGAGGAACATTCAAATGTCATTTGACTTAAAAACAGCACATCATTGACTACCTTAAAGCCAGCCCTTTTAATTACCATATTGCAATATATTGTATTTTTTTCAGAATAACAAGGAAATAAGTAGAAATTAATTGTTGCCATATGGCAACTCCGTACCATAGAGGGTTCATCCCTTTTTAAACACTCTTTAGAGCTGCTTTATGTGTTTAACAAAATACATTCTGATTCTGGTTTTAATTCTATTTCCGCAGAAGCACATTCTGTCTTGGGCAGCAGGTGGCAGTATAATCTGTCTCTGTGTGTGTGTGTGTGTGTGTGTGTGTGTCTCTCTCTCTCTGAAGGTCTGGAGCGGTCAGATGTCGAAGGGCTCGGTGGTTCTGGCCTACAGCGGGGGTCTGGACACCTCCTGTATTCTGCTGTGGCTAAAGGAGCAGGGCTACGAAGTCATCGCCTACCTGGTAACTCCTCACACAACGCATGGTGTCCTTCAGGGAATCTGCTCATCGTTAGCAGAGAGCTGCAGGGCAGGAAGGTGTTTGGTGAAATGATTTTATTCCCATGCTGAGCCCAGGCTTGTGAAGACTTGCACACCAAGCGTTTCCCAACTAACCAGCCGTGAATCATCTGCGCTCTTCATCGGGCGGTTTGGGTTTGAGATGAGTGTTCATAAGCTGTGTGTCCGCAGCAGAAGCACAGCGCAAGCGTAAACCGAGAGGAACAATGCTGTGATTATACATGAGCTGTGAGGAACAATAGGCCTGTCTGAGTCAGGAGCTTCTGAGGTTTAGTTTCATGTTGCATACGAACACATTTTCTGAGGACAACATTCAAACATCTACAGTGTATATAAGTATAATATACCTATATATAATACATATATACACTGTGTATATATACACACTATATATAGATATTTATAGTGAATAATATTTTGAGTGAATATTTTGAATTAGATTTAATTTTTTTATATTATATGCTTCATTTAAATTTTAGTTCGATTTTTTTATTTTTACATTTTTAGTTAGTTTTAGAAATTTTGTGTTTTTGTCATTTTTATTAGTGTTTCTTGTTTTTAAATATATCTATATAGTTTTTAATCATTTTTATTTTAGTTTTAGTTATTTTAGTACATCAAGTTAAACTACAAGAAAATGAGAAATGTTGCATTGGAAAGTTTATATTATTATTATTTTCTTCTTTGTAGTATTATTTATTTTATATAATATTTTTGTATGATGGTATTTCATATTTAGAATTTAAAAAAAAATCTAAATATTTTTTATTTATATTTTTATTTCCCCTTTTCCTTTTGATTTTAGTTTTAGTATAAGTTTTAATAATTTTGTTGTGTGTTTTTGTGACAACATGCCCCATTATGAAAGTAAACTTTAGGCAATATATACTCAAAAGGCACTAAGATTAATTGAAAATAGAAAATGTGCACTAGTCAAAGTAATTTTTTTAAACTAAATTGTTCTCTGAATTGTTTTTAAAACATAACCCTATAGAGATGTAGTGTTATTTTAGTATACTGTTTACTTCTGTACACATTTACTTCTATAGTGCTTTATACAGTGAAGGTTGTTTCAAAGCAGCTTCATAGTAATAAACAGGAAAAACAAATGCATTGAGGAAGTGCAGTAACAATTGTGAATAGCCTGATTTGAGGCGGTGAAACTGGTTTGAATGACGTAAAACTAGAGCAATAATGATTGAAGTCTTCATTGGTTTCCCATCTGCATTACATGCATCCTCTAGGGTTCGAATCCATGAAACTGATGTTGCTAGCATCACGCATTACTGTTTGAGCAGCATAAACGCTGCATTTCTGCTCCGATGAAGCTGTAGTTTGGACCAGGCTTGTGGTCAAACGTCCAGATACACAAGACAAGTTTCTCTTTTTGTTAAAGATTATCTGTTTTCTTTCATAAATCACAAGCTTTTTGTTCTTGTTAAACAAAACTTGTTCAACGGCTCTGCTTTTAATGCAAGTAGATGATCATTTTTATTCAGTGAGCTCTCTTAAGGATTTGTTTAATAAGATATTTAATTTAATTTAATCTAAAATGTTTTAATTAATTTTAACACTAATGTCATATTAATTTAATTATTTTATTTAAAACACCTTTAGTAATTTTAATCTATTTATTGTTTTATTTATTTATTTTTTATGATTTAATTTATCTTAATAATTTACTTTAATTTTGAACACAAATTTATTTTTTTGTCAGCCAAACCCCTTAAAAATAAAGTTAATATTTCAACACATTTGCATGTTCACGGTTCTCTGATGTTGGTTAATGCTTAAATAACATGGAGGTCAACAAATAAAATATTTACTTTTTTAGTAAGTTTCTTGTTTTTATTTTAAAAGGATTTTTTAAATTTAATTAATTATTATCTTTCATCAACGTGTGAACCCCTGTTTGGCAAAAGCCTCCTCTATAGTACCATAAACAGCTGACTTTACAGAAGTAAATGTTTTATTTTATTTTATTTTATTTTATTTTATTTCTTTAGATTTTTAATTTTCATTTATTTAATTTTTTTTTATTTCTTTATTTTATTTTTTATTGCAACTCTTGAAATTAGCAGAAAATGTCCAGCTCTAGCTGTGAGAGGAGCCTCAGCTAATCCCTTGGCATTAAAAGTCAAACTACCTTCCTACACTGTAAAAGATCAAAAGTTGAGAAAATGTTTCAGTTTTGAGTTTCAGAAAACTCAAAAATCTCCTACAATAACAAGTTGAGAACTCAAAAATGCCTTTGCCTTAAAATTGCCTTAAACTTTTAAGTTTTCTCAACGTTTGATTAACAACATAAACCCCCTTTTTATTGCATTGAAGGCCAATATTGGACAGGATGAGGACTTTGATGCTGCGCGGAAGAAAGCGGAGAAGCTTGGAGCTGAGAAGGTAAGAGGAGAAGCTGGTGACGGAGCTGCGTGCAGCGAGGGACTGTGTGCTCAGTGTGTGTCTGTGCTTCAGGTGTTCATCGAGGACCTGCGCTCGGAGTTTGTGCAGGAGTTCATCTGGCCCGCGCTGCAGGCCAACGCCGTCTACGAGGACCGCTATCTGCTGGGTACATCTATCGCTCGGCCCTGCATCGCCCGCAGACAGGTGCAGATCGCCCGGAGAGAAGGAGCGCAGTACGTTTCTCACGGAGCCACAGGAAAGGTGCTCACTTTACACTGGAATAAACCTGCTCCGGACTCAGACACACAGAGCTCAGCTGATCACCTCGAGAGAACTGTGACCCTGGAACACAGAACCAGTCATAAGCTGAATACATAATATTTCCATTGACGTATGGTTTGTTAGGATAGGACAATATTTGAAAATCTGGAATCTGAGGGTGCAAAAAAATCTAAATATTGAGAAAATCATCTTTAAAGTTGTTCAAATGAAGTTCTTAGCAATGCATATTACTAATCAAAAATTAAGTTTTGATATATTTACGGTAGGACATTTACTAAATATCTTCATGGAACATGATCTTTACGTAATATCCTAATGATTTTTGGCATAAAAGAGAAATGTATAATTTTGACCCATACAATGTATTGTTGGCTATTGCTACAAATATACCCCAGCGACTTAACACTGCTTTTGTGCTGCAGGGTCACATTTGTGAAAACACCTATATAGAGGATTAACAGAATAACATGCAAATGATAGGAAGAGCTCAGTTTAATAAGCTGCTGAACAGTTTAATATTCAGTCACTGTAACTTTAGGCTGTTTCTGTTTGATCAAAAATACAGTAAAAATTGTGAAATATTATTAGAATGTAAAACAGCTGTTGTCTATGTGAATATCTGTTAAACTGTAATTTATTTCTGTGATCAAAGCTGTATTTTCAGCATCATTACTCCAGTCTTCAGTGTCACATGATCTTCAGAAATCATTCTAATATGCTGATTTACTGCTCAAGAAACATTTCTGATTATTATCAATGTTGAAAATATTAAAAAAAAAGAAGAAATCAATACTTGCGTTCCTCAAGGACGCAAGTTTAACAGATATTCACATAGAAAACAGCTGTTTTACATTCTAAAAATATTTCACTGTTTTCACTGTATTTTTGATCAAATAAATGCAACCTCGAGCAGAAGAGACTTCTTTCAAGACATTTTGGCCAGTAGTGTATATTGACAACATCCTTTCAGTAGAATAAAAAGAATAAAGTCCTTTAGGTAAAATAAAGTATGTTTTCGCTGTGATGTTTCTCTGTGGGTTTAAGTGCATCTTTAATGTGTTTCAGCTCTAGTCTGTTCTGTGACTCTGATCAGAGATTTGATGTGATTTAGAAACTTCTCTTTCTTATTATTACAATTATCCATTTTATTTAAATTTTTTTCATTTTTTTGAAAATTCATCAAAATCTTAAAAAGCTATGGAAATTTCTATAATTAATATATACAAACATTTGAGTAGAGATAAATTGCTAAGAAATTGCTATTTGTAATTAAAAGGTAAATATATATATATATATTTATATTTAAATCACAAACAACTAGAAAAGTCATGCAAATTCATTGATCATAAAGACTGTGATTCCTGAAGAACACAGAAGTAAATGTGTCCATTAATTACAGAAAAACACTGAGAATGGTGTTTAAATCCAAAGAAAATGTGATCGTTATTTTCTGAAGAACAACTTTAAAGATGATTTTCTCAATATTTAGATTTTTTTGCACCCTCAGATTCCAGATTTTCAAATAGTTGTATCTCAGCTAAATATTGTCTGATCCTAACAAACCATACATCAATGGAAAGCTTATGTATTCATCTTTGAAAAATGGAGCCTTATGACTGTTTTTGTGCTCCAGGGTCACATAAACACAGACGCATGTGAGGAAGCGTGTGAATGAATGTTTTAGTGCTGTGTTTGCTGCAGGGGAATGACCAGATCCGCTTTGAGCTGACGTGTTACGCGCTCTATCCTCAAGTGCAGGTGAGTTCAGATCCGTCACACGAGTGTTATTATAAACCCGTCGTCTGTCTCTGACCGTCTTCATGTCTGCGTCTCAGATCATCGCTCCGTGGAGGATCCCAGAGTTTTACAGCCGCTTCCGGGGCCGGACCGACCTGATGGAGTACGCAGAGGTGCAGCTCAAACTTTCTCTTTAGTCACCCGCTTCTACGCTTTTTTCCTTGCAAACTGAGATCTCAGCGTCACAGACTGTGCTCAGACCTTCCAGAACACCGGAGACTGCAACCAAAACTCAGGGATTTTAATATGAATGCAAACAATTGTTATCAAATTCTTTCATGTTCTTTTTATAGCTCTACAGGGGTCCGGGGTCCACTAGGGGGCAAAAAAGGACACAAAATGACTTAACGTAAAGGCTTTGAAATGAGCTAAAACATCTTTAAAATGTATAGAATTTTGTAGAGAATTTGAGAAGTGTGATTTCTAGACCTGGAAAAGTCATGGACATTTCTATAATGAATAAATATAATTTTTTTTCTTTTTTCTGTTATGTTAAGCTTTATCTTATTAGTTAGAAATGGCTAATTTTCATTAATTTAATTATTTGCATTAAATTATTTTAATAAATTGCTCCAAAAAACAACAACAACAACAACATCAAAAAGCAATCACAAACAACTGTAAAAATCTGTACAATTACAAACGAATGCAAATTCACTGCAATTCACTGAATTATTTTAATATTTATTTTAATGTAGTTATATTTAAAATATTGCCACTCCTAATTCCTGTAAATAAAAAAAGCATTGTCAAATATTTTGTAGGGCTTTTGGTTATTATCTAGGAGTCAAAAAGGTTGAGAACCATTATTAATGTTATTTTAGTAATTTTGAGATACAGTTTTTTATAATTTGTAATATTTAGATTTTTTTTTTTAATTTTAGTATTTTCTGTTTCTGTTTTCGTTTTAATTTTCGTTTTTTTTATTTTAGTTTTTTATATGTCTGTATGGCTTTTATTTAAATTTATTTTAATTTCAGTTTTAGTGTTGTAGTACTTTACATCTTTATTTTTTATTTCAGTTCATGTTTATGTAATTTAAAGCAACAATGGTTTTAATTTCAGTTTAAGTTAAAGACCATAACAGCTTGCCACAAACAAAACTGATTCAGTCCTGATTCTCTCCACTAGATGGAGCTCATCATCTGATCACAGACGTCTGTCTTTATTAATATCACTTTTTCTTCAACCTGTTGTCTGAACAGCTCTTTTTGTGTCTTGATGACTTAAAGTTAATCTTTGTGGATTCTGAGACTGATAAAAGTCGCTCCGTTTTGCATATATAAAGAATCGACTGTATATACTGTATATAGAGTTTCAAATGTTTGTGAGAGAGAGAGAGAGTGAGTGAGTGAGTGAGTGTGTGTTGTGTGTGTGTGTGTGTGTGTGTGAGAGAGAGAGAGAGTGAGTGAGTGTTGTGTGTGTGTGAGAGAGAGAGTGAGTGAGTGTGTGTGTGTGAGAGTGAGTGTGAGTGTGTGAGCGTTTCCGCATTAAACACAGATGAAAGCATCAGAAATACTACAGACTGAATAAAACAACGATTATTGGTTGTGCATTTTACAAGAAAATATTCGTTCAAAATTTCATGTTTAACTCAACGTGTTACTTCTAGTTTCTTTGTAATTGTTTGTGAAATTTACTAGCAATTTCTAGAGTGACTCAGTCCTGTAGCTCATATGTTTGTTGTCTTTGCTCAGAAACACGGTATTCCTGTTCCTGTCACACCGAAGGCACCGTGGAGCATGGATGCAAATCTCATGCACATCAGGTGAAGTCTCTGTTTACCTGCATGCATTCTTTACTGCTGTTACAGAAAACTTACTAAAAATGTCTTTTAACAGCTATGAATCTGGAATTCTGGAGAATCCGAAGGTAAGAGATCGTTATGATCAAAGCTCTGCAGATTCTAAACATATAATGCAATGCAATCCAGTGACGACTGAGAGATGAACAAATAAACCTTCCTCAAAGAATCACATTTGAAGATGATTTTTCTAAAAAAAAAAAAAAACGATGTCTGGATAATCGAGTAAAGCAAAGTTATTTCCGTTCAGACCCATATGGCAAAAAAATTCAAAATCTCAAAAAATATATTTACTTTCAATGTAAATATATTTTCAACTGATATATTTTTTTGCTCACTTTGTTTGAAAAGAAAGTTGAAGAATTTATTTAGCCCTCCATATATTTTCAATCCAAGACAATACACTCTCATTTGAAGAAAAACTTTATTTATTTATTTAATGAATGCATGTGAACATATAACACATTTGAAAAATGTTATGCAAAAAATTAAACATGCGTCTTTTATGCCAAAAATCATTAGGATATTAAGTAAAGATCATGTTTCTCATGTTTCAAACATGAGATTTTCTCAATATTTGAATGTGAATGTGACGAGTTGCTCTGAGCTTCAAACATCTGGATATGCTTTAGATGTCTCACTTTTGAGATTTCCGTCATCATTGCTTTCATTTTTCATCATTTTCTTCTTCGTTTTCTGTTAATGAGCGGGGAGATGCGATTTATTCCTGGGTCAGAAAAGAACAAACAGAATTGCGAGATGTAAACTCAAAATTCAGAGAAAAAAGGCCACAATTGCAAGATAATAGAATTGCTAGAATTCTGAGTTTATATTTTTTCTCAGAACTGCATGAAAAATAAATCAGAATTGTGAGATATAAAAGCTTCCACGAGGCATCGCATGCATGTGTTTTTGTATTCAATGCTTTTAACCCTGTGCAACCTGACCAATGAAATTATAGCATTTGAAATGGAACCACTTATTAACCCTTTAGACAAATTTTATTTAGACGTGGAGCTTTAATTGCTCATAATTATAATCAACACACTTTTGAATATCCTTTGGATGTCTTCATTTTTCACCATTTTATTTATTTTTTATTCTGTGGTGAATTTTTTTTGAAGAAAGTCAGAATTCAGAGTCTATATCTTGCAATCTTTTTTTTTTTTTTTTGGTTTCTGCCACAGAATAAATCTCATCTCACTGCTCATTAACAAAAACAAAGATGAAAATGATGAAGAATTTAGTCTGAAAATAGTCAGAAAAACATTTTTTTTTAAATGGAACTGTTTATTGACCAAAATATATTTTTGATAAGTTTTTTTTAAGTGTCATATTTGATCATCAGGCTCATTTTTCTAAAAAAAAAAAAAAACGATGTCTGGATAATCGAGTAAAGCAAAGTTATTTCCGTTCAGACCCATATGGCAAAAAAATTCAAAATCTCAAAAAATATATTTACTTTCAATGTAAATATATTTTCAACTGATATATTTTTTTGCTCACTTTGTTTGAAAAGAAAGTTGAAGAATTTATTTAGCCCTCCATATATTTTCAATCCAAGACAATACACTCTCATTTGAAGAAAAACTTTATTTATTTATTTAATGAATGCATGTGAACATATAACACATTTGAAAAATGTTATGCAAAAAATTAAACATGCGTCTTTTATGCCAAAAATCATTAGGATATTAAGTAAAGATCATGTTTCTCATGTTTCAAACATGAGATTTTCTCAATATTTGAATGTGAATGTGACGAGTTGCTCTGAGCTTCAAACATCTGGATATGCTTTAGATGTCTCACTTTTGAGATTTCCGTCATCATTGCTTTCATTTTTCATCATTTTCTTCTTCGTTTTCTGTTAATGAGCGGGGAGATGCGATTTATTCCTGGGTCAGAAAAGAACAAACAGAATTGCGAGATGTAAACTCAAAATTCAGAGAAAAAAGGCCACAATTGCAAGATAATAGAATTGCTAGAATTCTGAGTTTATATTTTTTCTCAGAACTGCATGAAAAATAAATCAGAATTGTGAGATATAAAAGCTTCCACGAGGCATCGCATGCATGTGTTTTTGTATTCAATGCTTTTAACCCTGTGCAACCTGACCAATGAAATTATAGCATTTGAAATGGAACCACTTATTAACCCTTTAGACAAATTTTATTTAGACGTGGAGCTTTAATTGCTCATAATTATAATCAACACACTTTTGAATATCCTTTGGATGTCTTCATTTTTCACCATTTTATTTATTTTTTATTCTGTGGTGAATTTTTTTTGAAGAAAGTCAGAATTCAGAGTCTATATCTTGCAATTCTTTTTTTTTTTTTTTGGTTTCTGCCACAGAATAAATCTCATCTCACTGCTCATTAACAAAAACAAAGATGAAAATGATGAAGAATTTAGTCTGAAAATAGTCAGAAAAACATTTTTTTTTAAATGGAACTGTTTATTGACCAAAATATATTTTTGATAATAAGTTTTTTTTAAGTGTCATATTTGATCATCAGGCTCTTATGGCTCATATAGTCTAATATAGTGAGAATACGGAGGAACAAACAGCTAAAATTTATTCAGAGACTCAAACTGAGCAAAAATATGAATTTGCTGCAGATGCTGATATTTCTATGATGAAATTCTGATGCTTGAAATGCAATGAGATCTTTATAACAGTGCAGCAGATACTGAGATAAAATGCTATAAACATCAGTCGTCACTCTATATCTGCATTAATCTGTCTCAGTAAGAGGAGATGTAAATGCTCCAAACATATAATGCAGTGATTGAGAGCTGAAGAAATAAAGGCTCCTCAGAAGATGTGAGATGTTCTGGAGGCTTGTGAAGATCATTCCTCCGCTGAGGAACAGTGAAAGTAAAGCTTCTGGAAACAAACGCTCCTCAAAAGATCCTGAGGATCAGATTTGAGACTCTAAAACATGATTGATGGAGAATCAAGTAAAGCTGAGCTGCTTCAGTCCAGTAAGTGTTCATCTGGAGATATTACTGCAGTTATTCTGACCTTTACTTGATCAAAACCAGTCAATCAGAGGCCTCAGGAATAGAGTTAAGGATCTCAGGGTTATTAAGACGCTGATGCAGATCATCTTCTCTCATCAGAAGGAGAATGTCTCTCTCGGTTCAGGACACGGTGATTTACGCCTCACTTCCAATCCACTGGCCAGATTTCACTGCTTTACTTTCATCTCTTCACTCATTCTTTCCACTCTTTCCCTCATCGCCGTTCCCTTTCCCCGTCTCTTTCAACTCCGGGCTTTGATTGAAAGCAAATGAGGCAGCTAACATGTGGAAAGAGAGAAATTTACTTGCTGTAAGTTCATGCGGCTGTCGTCTTTCAGGACAACAATATACGGCCAGCTGAATAAAGCGCGCTCCAGCGACATGATGCTTCTCTTCACGGACCATTTGCCACCAATGCCTTCTCTCTGCCTGTCATTCTCTCTGTGGATTATTCCTACCTTCGCCTGTCTCGCGGGGTTAAAGGGCGAGACCAGATCCACCAGCAGGGGGTCAGAATTGAAATTCATTGATCCCATCACATTATATCAAGCGCTGAAACGTGTTGAGCTTCACCTGATTCTTTCGTCGCTCGTAAGACACTGTTCAGGTCTGGCTCAGTCGCTTGTGATGCAGTGAATCGTTTAGTTAATTTTTGTAAAGAATGATTTTGGTCAGTTCAGTTCATGCAATATCATATTTTGACATTATCTTTTGATTTTACGTTGAAAATAGTTTTTGGCAAAATAAAATGTTGAATTTTGCCATTTTGCCATTTTGCTAATATTTAGCCCCTTTTTAAGAAAAACTGTTATTAACATCATTCATACTTTTCCCGCAACATGATGGGAAGAAAAATAAACAATCTCATTCTGTTTTCTCCATTTTTACATAAATTGCAATCTTGATTGCATTCAACAAGTTCAACAAATCAGCACTTTTATACTTTAGTTTATAAAAAAAAAAAAAAAAACTTCTTGGTTATACGAACGTTATGTTTTATCATTTTGCAAACATCATCGGAACGTTACTTTTGAATGAAACAAGTGGTAACTTTGAAACACTAGATAAATGTCCAACTAAAACATTTCAGAAAAAAAGTACTTTGAACAATGAGACCATAAACTTAAACTTTATTGAGCTTAAATATGAGAGATGATCCTCACACGAATAGCCAAATAATCGCTGTTAAATCCAGCTGCTGGTGATGCAGTGAATTGTTCCATTTGTTTTTATAAAGAAAATAGGCAGATTTTGATCAGTTCGGTTCATGCATTGTGATCTGTTGATTTGATACTTAATTCATTGTAGAAATCATGTGAGTTGATATTTCACTGTGTCCCACATTTTGCACAGATTTTCCATTTGATTTTATTCCTCCGTTTAAGAAAAGATTTTTACATTTGATGGGGAGAAAAAAGGAATTTATTCAATTTTCCCAATTTTTACAGAAATTGCAATATTGACTGCAAAAATGTCTCAGAAGCGTTTTGCTAATGTTCCAATTAAGTTATAAAAATTTTACTTTTGAAAGTTCAAAAATGTTTTTGTTTGGGCATTTGAATGTTAAGGGAACGTTCCATTTGTATCATTTTGCAAACATTGTGGGAATGTTACTTTTGAATGTTCTCTGAATGCTTTGAAACACGTAAAAAAAATGTTAGATGAACGCTCGACTAAAATGTTTCAGAAATAAAATGTTCCATGAACAATCCCAGCTAACAGGGAACAATCTCAGAAATGTATCTAATGTTCTGGCAAGATTCTCTCAAAGTTATGAACAAACGTTCTTCCGGTAAAACATTATTTATACATCGTTCATGGAAAATGTTTTAAACGTTAGTCTAACATTTTTTGAATGTTACTTCTTGTTTCAGAACGTTCAGAGAAAATTAAAAAGTAACGTTTCTATAATGCTTTCAGAATGATGAATTGGAAACGTTCCCTTAACGTTCGCATAACCAAGAACAATCATTTTTAAAACATTCAGAATTATCTCATTCTTTCCACTCTTTCCCTCATCGCCGTTCCCTTTCCCCGTCTC